GAAAGACAAAGTCATTTTTGGTCAGAAAATAATTACAGATGCACAATAAAGATGGATTCAGATAAAAAAGACCTCTAAATAGGTTACAATGTTGGATAAATGTATGTAGGCTTGGGAGAGAGAAGAAAAAAATAGTTATAAAAAGAAGCAAATAGTTTTTAAAAAATAAAGCAAAGTCTTTAAAGAGACAGTGAACTTACAGAAAAAGTAATAGGAATAAAGAAAATAAGGCATGTAAAGATGGAATATATATGGAGAGTGTGGGTTATGTATATTACTGTGTTGTCTTTGAATTTATTTGGCTTCAAAGAGACATTTGATTCTGGGGACTGCTAAGCTAAACTAGTATATATATTTTAAAGGTTTCTTGAGTTCAAAATTTGAGTCTAAGGATATGTTGCTTTGGAAAAGAGGTTCTTCTTTTGCTTCAACAGAAGATGAGAACATGTGGATTAATTTCAGACTAATGTTTTTTGATGGACCAAGATCACACAAAAGGTTGCCATGAACACCCCCAAATTACTTCGCTCAACTGTAATTGCAAGTTGTAATTGTAATTGCTTGAAGCAGTTTGGAAAGAACTATGCAAAAATTTCCTAAATGATTGTTCATAAATGCTTGTTTATATTTAAAGGGGGATATAATATAGAGATGAATACTTTGTGTTGGTAAAAACTTAGGACTTTTCATGATGTGAGACACATTTGTTCCTGGCAGCACCAAGCTACTTCAAGAGGATGATGGGCACTGAAGAGGCTCCTTATGGCATTGGTTAGCCATTTGAGTAAAAAACTGCTATTGCCTGGACTGCTTGGTGCTATGCTGTATGAGCTGGACATGCAGGATCCACAAAGAAATGACTGCTGAACTTGCCTAAAGGTGAGATGGTCCTTCGGGGTTCCTGCTACATGAAAGAGTCTGCCAGACATTCTGTAGGATACAGAAAAAGGCAACTGATGGACTTTGCCATTACAAGGTAGAATAAATCTTCAAATTTCCTGCTTCATGGACAAGTCTGCTAGATACTATGGGCCTGTAGGCTGAAGATGGATGCTCCAATGATACAGAAGAACTTTGGATGACTATGCAGGCAGTGAGAGGTCTCTGTCAATTCTAGAGATTTGGAAGTTGCTTACAATGCACTTCCTGTTTACTTAGGTAATATTATATCCTTCTGGAGTTTTTGATGGAGTCGAAGAATATATAGTTATAGTAGATATAAATATAGTAACTCAAATTCTTGCTAGATACCTGTTTTGCTATATGTAATTTTTCTCTGTTAGAGTTAAAATCCTTCCTTTTTTATTTAAACAGAAAAGGGGAGATGATGTGGGATTTCCCTCTGTATTCTGTGAATACCATTGATTAATAAAGAAACTGTCTCAGGCCTGCACAGAGCAGAATAGAGGTAAGTAGTAAAAACTAAACTGAATGCTGGAAGAAAGACGGTAGAGTCAGGAGACACCATGTAGCCTCACCAGAGACAGATGCTCAGAACAGAACTTTACCCAGGAAGCATGGTGATACACAGATTAATGGAGATGGGCTAGTTTAGGATATAAGAGTCAGCCAGAAATATACTTAAGCTATTGGCCAAACAGTATTGCAAATAATATGGCTTCTGTGTGATTATTTCAGGGCTGAGCAGCTGAGAATTAACTAGCAGCCTCCTACAGCAATTGCTGATGAATGTTATGCTACCATGATGATCACCCCCTTTGGCTACTTTTCTAGAAGACTCCAACATTGATTACAATAAACCAAAATCAATTGTGTTAACGTTTTACAGGTAACTCTGAACATCACACGGTTTACTGTTAGGAAAGAAGGTGGAACAAACAGGCAGCTCTGGATTTGATCCTCTGATCAATGCAGAAAGCATTTAAACAAGCTTAATTTTAGTGCAGCATTCCAGTTATGATTGCTTTTCTTTTCTGAGCTTTAACTAGTTATTTTAGATGGTGATTTTTTTCCTCATCCTAAAATACATGAAGCTTATCAGATACATTGTAAAGCACATAATGGTTTTCTTGTTCCCTTTTTATTCATACCTACAGAGTCCCTCATATTAACTTCCAGATTGCTCTTCAGGAAAGTCTCTCCCTCACATCAGGGCATTGACGTGACTTCCCAAGTCCTTCTTCAGGACTTCCAAGTGCCATGTTCTGATGTTGTCTTATTCACCTCCAATAATCCAATTACCCAGTGAGCAACCTTAAGGTTACTCTGAGCAACCTTAAGGTTGCATCGCATGGCCAGTCACACTGTCTCTGTTTCCTGACCCAGAGTTAGATGTGTAGCAGGAAGTTAAGATGTTTACCAAGTTTAGAGGAAACAACGTGGACACTGCAAGGGAGACACTAGATAGGATTGTGGCTCCTAGGTTCCACTTAAATGAACTATTGCCCTCTCTGCTTCCATACTATTTTTCAAGTTGGCCCATGTGGCTGGGGAACAATTTTGGATGCAGGATAAGGATGAGACTTAAAAAGAAAAGGAAGAGGAAAAGAGAAATGTGCAAGACTGGAATAGACTTTCTCAGAGTATGAGGAATGGGATATGACCCACAGGGTGCCACAAAACCAGGCAAGGATCCTGTTGTGTGTGCATGGTGTAATGTTGCCTTAAAGGTTGATGATTAGTCACTATGAATCTATTCATTCTTCCCTCCTCCTTTTTCTGTCTTCTTTTCCATTTATTTTCTCATTTCTCCTAACCATTTTGTGGTCTTTCTGGAAGTTCCCATCTTTACTGATAGAAGTCTAAGAAAAGCTTGACAAACTTTTAAGGGGGATGCAATTCTCATCCCATTCTCCCAACTTCTCTCCACTTTGAAAGGCCATGGAGTGGGAATAAGTCATAAGAATGTGAGGAATTGCCTCACTTTGGGGATTCCTCATTTGTTCTATTATGGATAGCATTGAGAGAGAAGGGGAATCTGTCCTCTGTGGAAGCCTTTTCTTTACCCCTGGACACCAGCACTAAAAAGGCTCTTATTGACTCATTCATGCCTGAAATTACAAATATAGCTATAGTTTTTAAATTTCAGGTTAATTTATTAATTATTGAAAACACAGTCTCCTTTAGCCCAGGATAGCCTCAAATTTACTATGAAGCCAACAATGACCTTGAACTTCTGATTCTTCTGCTCATGTATTACCTGATTAATATGGTGAAAGGGACTTCATGCTTGATAAGCAAGAACTCTACCATCTGAATGACACCTACAGCATTGTACATGGTGACTTTTTACACACACACACACACACACACACACACACACACACACACACACACAGTTTGTTTGCTTGTTTTTGTTCCATGTGTATGTGTGTGTTTTCTCCCCATTCATCCTGTCCTAAATCTTGGCCTATTTCTGATCTCCTGGCTGGAGAACTGCTTAAGCACCTTGAGGACTGAATCACCCTGTCATCTTAGTAGTCATGATCAACTGTGTACCCAGAAGTGTGGGGCTGTGTGGCTTGTTCAGGGCTCTGGGAAATACCATGGAGACTCTGGCAGGGTAGATCTGGGGAAGTGGCTAGCTCTGCATTCACTAAGAGTCTAATTCCCATGTTAGCTATTCAAGAACTATATGTACATTCTGGGTAGAATGTTAGGGCTTACATAAAAAACAAAAACAAACTGTTCTTCACTAATTAGAAAATGAGAAGTTATTAATGTTGAATGAGAGTCAATTCTTTAAAAAGAACAGAATAAATCGACACAAATGAACCATGAAGTAATATTTTTGCCAGAGAGAACAGTTGTGGCAGCTTGAAGGGGCGTACCAACCCACGGGGAGCACTGAACTGCTCCTGTGGTTGGCACTCAGCTTGCTGTGTGTCGTTTGCAATCGGTAGCAAACAGAAGCAGATTTCCGTGGTTTTCAAAGCTATGTATCTTCTGAAACTCTTGTCCAAAAATGTAATCAGCACATTGATTATTTGGGCTGATTTTATAGTTTCAGAAAGGAGCTAGGATGTTTTCAAGATGTTTGTTTATAAACAACCGATAGTTATAAATGGACATGCAGAGAGGATTTTAAATGCGATGGTTTACAAAGTACCTGGTGATGTGGCATTTCCCTCTTTATGCTGTGATTGCCATTGATAAATAAAGGAACTGCTTTGGGCCTATAGCAGAGCTATAGGGGAACAGAGCTGGGTGGGGAAAACAAAGCCGAATGTTGGGAGAAAGGAAGGGTGGAGTAAGAGAGGAGCTATGGAGTTGCTGCCAGAGACAGATGCTGGGAACTTTATCTGGTAAGCCACAGCCACATGGTGATATACAGATTAATAGAAATGGGTTAAATTAATATGTAAGAGTTAGCAAATTAGAAGCTAGCGCTAATGAGCCAAGCAGTGATTTAATTAATACAGTTTCTGTGTGATTATTTCGGACTAAGCTAGCCGGGTGGCCAGGAACCAACAAGCAGCCCCCTCCAACAACCTGGATATCATTTAAATTGTCATGGGTAGTAAAGAGAGAAAACACTCCTTGCCAAGTTTAGAAATCTCTTGATTTAACCTCTGTCTGTCTGTCTCACTCTCTATCATCTCTCTCTATCATCTATTATCATCCATCTATCTATCTGTCTGTCTATCTATCTATCTATCTATCTATCTATCTATCTATCCATCATCATCATCATCTCTATCATTATCTATCACTATCTATCTATCTATCTATCTATCTATCTATCTATCTATCTATCTATCTCTATATATTTAATATGTAGAGAAAGAAAGATAAACACATATAGATATAGATTTCAAGAGGCTCATCCATTCTAAGACTTTGGTAATTGAGGCTAAACCAGACCTGAGAGTTTCTTAGCAATCGTTTCTTTACTATTCATGACCACAATACCCTCTTTACTCTTATGTAAGCATATGTTTATCAATCCTTGTAGGAAAATCTGGTTTTAATAAACCTAGTAACAAGCGTAAATGATAGTACTCATGTAGGTAATTAGCACAAACAAATGGAACACTTACAATTGCATTTCTTCTGTACAAATCTCAGCTTGCATGCTGTTCTGTAGGTGGAGAGTCGGATACGATCCAGATCTTGAGCCCCTAGTATGGGAAAAGAGTATACATATGGTATGCCATTTGACAGGAGCTTGCAATGTTTGTAAACAAAACAACTGCAGATATAATCCATATGCTTACTGGTACTTCTGTTGCACTATAAATACTAGTTTAAGACTCGTGTCTATTCATGTTCCCAGGGCAGAGAACTCTGGTATTCAATCAGACTGCCAACCATGATCATGGACCAAGGAAGACAACCTCTCCCTGCTGTGTCTACCATTTCCTAGAACAATATACTCAAACTGTGACTTGAGTAACGGAAAGATGATATCAGAAATGATCACTGAATAAGCGAGCTTTTAAATTCATCATTGTCATTGGAGCAGAGCTGTTAGGTAAAAGACTGAATATTGAGTGTCTTTTCTGTGAGACCTTCAACCAAGTGTTTCAGGAAACCTCAGTTTTCCCATTTACCAGATTGGGATAATGATATGGTAGCTATTTCACACGATTGCTGTAAAGACAAAAGAAGGAGATTCCTAATGCTCTAATGGAAGAATCCTTCTTTTGTGCTAATGTGTATCTTGGGGCCTCAGAGGGGAGACTCCTTTCCAAAACCAACCTCTGCTCCTGTTTTGTGACTACTAGTTCCACCCTAGCATTGTAGGAACATGTCCCCACATTCTTAATGTTGTCCTTTTTCTACTTTCCATTCAGGAATCCATCATGACTCTTGATGCCAAGACAGTAGTTCTGAAAACCCTGCTCAGAGTTCAAGTCCCACCATATTCTAAGCATCTTACCCACCTAGAATTATTGGGATGTCCTCTCATAGCCCACTGAGCTCTAGTGTCCCTCCTACCCTCCCCAATTGGGCCAATTGCTAGGCCATCTCCCAAATAAACAAGACTCTAAACAAATGCCTGCTTTTAAGTATTGTGTTTTTCACAACTGAAATAAAAGCACACAGCTATATTTGGACACATGTTAGAGATCTCTCTTAATGAATGGGGCCCACATAACTGTTATACAAATGCTTGAAAATAGAACAGCGGGTATATGGACTCTGCCAGAAGCAGGAGGACCAGCAGGCCAATAAAATGCTTTTTCAAAGAATCAAGATGGCTTCGTAAGTACCCCCCCCCAACTGATGGAGTTCCATTTTTCACTGACTCTAAAGAGTCACTTGGACATATTGTTGTCTACTGTCCAGTTACTGGTTTGTTAACCACCAAACACTCATTCTTGTGAAGTTATATTGCTTGACAAACAGGCTTCTTGATGCTGAAGTGAGGGTTTCTCAGTACAGGGTTTCAAATAAAAATATTCTTAGAAAACAGACATTCAACCAATCATATATGGCCATGTAGGATTATTTCCAAAGAAAAGGAAGATTGGAATTTAGTGAAATTACGTATTGTTTGGCCTTTACTAATTAATTCTATCACTTCTTATTTGTGTGAACCTCAGCAACATTTTACTTGCCATCTCTAGATGGCCAAGTATGAGATGGGTATAAAAAAAGATAAACTTAAGTTAGCAATAGTGTAGTTCTGACCTCTGTTCTCAGTACACAGTGCGCAATTAAAGCAAGCACGCTGTCTTAAGAGGCTTCCTGTGCTAGTTCTGAACAGCAGTGGATAACAGAAAGCATTGCCTTACATGTGAGTTTCCCTCTACCCCCTCGTCACTACAGCCCCCTTGGTCCGGTTCTCACAACTGGAACTGCAGAAATGTTTCGCCCTGCCAATTGACAATTTACTTCTCAATATTGGGTGGCTGTTCTCATCATCATAAGCATTGCAATTATAGACAAGAGGCTTTGTTACCGTGAACTTTGAAGCTGAACTGGGTAGAGAGCTTTTACTTTTTAGATGCTGGTTTGAAGATGTTCAGCTCCAGTTATGTCAGATATTCATAGTGTTCATCATGTAGCATGGCACACAAAGGGCACCGATGCACAGGGCTGCTGCTTTTATTATCAGCCATGTTGCTTCTGTGAGTTTCTTTGTGATGACTTTGACTCCCCCGACCCCCCGACTCATACTATTCTTCCTTCCTTTCCACCAGGATTCCTGGAGCTTGGCCCAATGCTTGGCTATGAATGTCTGCATATATTAAGGTTTTCTTTTTATTTTCTGGTTTTGTATTAAAGATAGGACTTTGTATCTATTTAGATAGTTTATTTTAATTTCCTGTCCTAATTAATCTGTGTGTCATTTTCAAATTCATCATTTTCTTCTAGCGTGTCAAAGATCCTTCCCATGTTAAAGTCTTTGGTCAATCTGATAGGGCCCTGTTGGAAACAAACTCTCTAAGATGCCAATGGCAGAGTGCAAGAAACACCTGTGTGCTGATATACCTTTTACTGCGTGAAATTTTACTGGTGTTTAGTTTGGCTTAGCAGTATAGAGTTCCCATATCTGTAAATAAGGCTTTCAAAGTAAAAAATAGGAGGTGTAGAGTCTTTGTATAAGTTCATCAAGAACAATACATTAAAGCTGGTCATAATTGTATCTACCTGTCATTCCATCACTAAGGAGGATGAAATGGGAGGAACATGTTTAAGGCTAGCCTGGGCTACAGAGCCTGTATCGAAATAAAGCAAGCAAATAAACAAAACCATAGATGGAGATGTAACCTCAGTTGGTAGAGTACTTGCCTAGCATGCACAAAGTCTTGGCTTTGACCCCTAGGTACCACACACACTGGGCAATGGGGTTCAGTTCTATGTAGCTGGATGTAGGAAGAACATCAGAAGTTTAAGGTCATTCTAGGCTACATAGCAATTTTAAGGCCAGCCTGGGCTATGAAAGACCCTGTATCAAAACAATAACAAACAAACAAAACAAACCAAGAACAATGAGTTAAATACCAGCTGTTACATCAAAATTGTGATATAGCACACAATGATGTTTGTTAATTTCAGCAAAACCTTAGCCAAATTCTGAGAAGGATAATCCTTGTACTTCTGTGCCTCTCCCCCTTGTAGAGGTCCTCGGGCATTTTTGCAAAAGTGCATTTCTACAAGATGTGGTAAAGAAGGATACAAATATGATGTGTGGGGATTCAGAATCACCTAAGGCTCTCCTTTTCCTTGTCACTATTATGTAGGTCTAACTGATGTTGAAGAGCAAAATAAAGGGACTTAAATGTCTATAAATGGTTCCTAGTCATATACATTCTTCTTGTCTGATGATGTAAAATCTAATATTAAAGGTCTTTTGGTAAACAAGCAAACAAAATGCAGCTTTGCAGATACAACAGCCCGCTGCTTCACACAGACAATGGGGGCGGTGCTATGGGAACCATGCTGGATTTGGTGGACAAACACTGTGGCATGCTGCATAGAGTTTATTTTTTTAAACTCTCAAAAATAAATTTAGCTTTCTCCGACTTAATAAATTAAGAACTTAATTTAATTTCACTTGTGCAGTGTTTTGTTGAATGCCTATGAGTGTTCTCTCTGTCTTCGTCCAAGCCTTTGATTAAAACCAATGGCCTAAGCAGAGCCACACGTAGAGGCCCTGTGCTCCTGGAGGTCAGCCTTACCCCAAGGCTGACTGAACTATTGATTGTTGCTCTACGTGATCATAATACTACCTGCGAGTCCACTCTACTATGACCCGGCTCACATTTGTTCAACATATGCATAGTCTAGGAGCCTTTTCAGCACTTTGTTGAAATTAAGGTTAATATTTATGCAATAACACTTTTTTCTGATCTAGAATTCTGGTGACTTTTATTAAAGAGAAAAATAATTTATTAACTATTTTATTAAAATATGGAATTTAAATAAATGATAAAAGGAACCGTGAAGAGCATTCTCCTATTGAATTCTTCTCTGGGTGAGGAATGCCTTTTTCATTTTATTTCACTATCCACTAATGGTGTTTGTTTTCCTTTTAAATTACATCAGTGGTATATAATTCTTTAAAACTTGAAAATTCATCTCACTTAACTGATGTCAGGCCTGCTTCACACTAATATACAGTGGGAGATAAACAATGAAAGGCAGTGATAGATACCATTTCTTCTATATCTGTATATATTTGAAAACTTTCATAATAAAACCATAAGGTATGTGTGTTTAAGGAAAAATGCTCTTGAACTGTCTTCTCAAACCTCTCCTACCCATTTCATGGTTGGAAGATGTGTTGGAAACAGGAGCAAAGACATATGTAAGAAATCACACACATTCACAGCTACCAGTTACAAGCCCTGTGTTTCCTCTTTTAATCCACCTGTCTCAGTTAGGTTTCTATTGCTGCAACAAAACACCATGACCAAAAAGCCAGTTGGGGAGAAAAGGGCTTATTTGGCTTACACTTCCTTATTGCTGTTCATCACTGAGGGAGGCCAGGACAGGAACTCAAACAGGGCAGGATCCTGGAGGCAAGAGCTAAAGCAGAGACCATGGAAAAGAGCTGCTTCCTGACTTGCTACCCATGGCTTGCTCACCTGCTTTCTAATAGAGTCCAGGATCACCAGCCCAGGGATGGCACCTTCCACAATGGGTTCCCCTGTTGTGGGGGAATGCTCTTGTACACTGTAAAGATTTGTTACTCATATTGGTTTAGTAAAACTCTGATTGGGCCAGTAGCCAGGCAGGAAGTATAGGCAGGGCAACCAGACTAGGAGAGTTCTGGGATCAGGAAAGGCAAAGGCAATCACTAGTCAAATATAGAGGAAGCAAGATGAGAATATCTCACTGAGAAAAGGTACCAAGTCACATGGCTAAACATAGATAAGATAGATATGGGTTAATTTAAGTTGTAAGAGCTAGTTAATAAGCCTGAGCTAATAGGCCAAACAGTTCATAATTAATACAAGTTTCTGTGTGTTTCTTTGGAATTGAATGGGTGCAGGACCAGGCAGGGCAGAAACTTCTGTCTATACATATACATATACATATACATACACATACACATACACATATACATATACATATAAACATACATATATACTCTGTATATACTCTGTCTATACTAGTTCAGAAAATGCTTTACAGTTGGATCTCAGGGAGGCATTTCCTTAGCTGAGGCTCCTTCCCCTCTGATGACTAGCTTGTGTCAAGTTGACACAAAACCAGCTAGAATACCATCTTTTCATGTTTCTCCCCCTCCATTCTTCTTTGTCTTTCTTGCAAACGTATATTCTCATTAATTTTCTCCCTTTCCTCCTCCTATTCATTCTTCAAACCAATCCACAAACCAACCAACCAACCAACTGACCAACCAAGCAACCAACCAACCGACCGACCAACCGACCAACCAAGCAATCAACCAATCAGCGAGTCTTTTCTAGTTTTGTTATTAGCTTTATTACACTGAAAGTTTCACATACTCCACATGTGTTCACCATTTATGTTTTGATAGCTCATTATAAAATATTTACATAATGTATTCTTATATTCTTAGATATCTTGCTCATTTAAAAAGTTCATTCAACAAATATTTACAGCATGAAAATGGAACCTATAAATTATGTTCCTGAACTATTTGTCATGCCTGATGACTGATTGAATGCATGCGTGTGTGTTATATATAAGAGAGATGAAGAGGAGGAATGAGATAGTGTCCTAAGTGCATTCACTACTTAGTCCCTATATTTTTTGCGAAGCTTGCTCCTACACTCTTGAACTTGTCTTATTTATCCCTGAGCACCTTCTTTTTAAAATAAATTCTAGCTCTGCTTCATATGAGATTGCCCCGAAATCTTTTTCTCTCTACTCTGAAGGATTCCATTTTTGCCTAAGTAAAGGTTCCTAAAAGATGAAGGAATTCCTTAGTTGCCTGTGATTCTTTGTTTAGGGTTGAAGTCTTGTAGACTTTCCTTGTCCACTTTGGCGAATCTATTGTTGTCTTTGCTCAGCTCAGGTTTAGGCAGTCATATTAGTGAGACTTTATGGGTATAGCTTCTGACATTCCTAGGAGACAAACTCTCTGAACCTCTGGCTCTTACAGTCTTTCTGATCCTTCTTCCACAATGTTCCCTGAGCCTTATGTGTAGGAGTTGTGTGTAGATTTATCCATTTCCACTAAAGAGTGCACCAGTTGTTATCCAATAGCAAATGGTCAGTGCTGAGAACATGTAGACAAATAACATTATACAGACTGAGCAGGTTGTGTTCAGAAATATGTTAAATAAACGTGTATGCCAGCTGGCCCTGAAACTGTCCCTTCCTAGGCCTAACTTTAGAAATGTCTCTTCAGGCCTTTAGGCCTTAGATTTCTCATTTTCCCTGAGCATTTAACTTGAGAACTTTTCATTGTTAATCCTTACTAGGGTACTTTGAGATGTAAATTTCCCAATCTCTTGCCGGTTTTTCACCACCCCAGTGTCTTTCTAAGGACCTGGATATCAGAAAAGTAATCATTGAGAGAGATGGGGCCCTGTTCCTCAGTCTCCCTGGAAGAAGAGCCCAATATCTAAATCATCATCATTAGTAATCAGGTGTCCTAATCCTGCCGACCAACCCCAGAGCACAAACCCTCCCGATGCTGGAGGTAGTCTATTATTCTTACTGAAACACTTTCTCGAAAGTCTTCAGTTGCCTGTTTAGCTTGTGTAATCGTGAGATGAGACTATTCTTTCACAACTATAATATTCAGAAAAACAAATTGGCCTACTCTTCACCGCTTTATTTTCCTTTTTTTTTTTTTTTAAAAAAAAAACGAATTGTTTCTAGAAAAAAATATAACTAGCCACATGTATGAATTCTTAGTCCTGTTTTTGCTTTCTGGATGTCACAGGTTCCTGGAAGATGTTTTATTTTTGGCTGTTTTAACATAATGTCAAGAAGATCATCTTAGTCTGTGTGACAGTTCACCCAACAACAGCGTTTCTTCCTTTTGTGCTCCGGCAATTGTTTCCCTGCTACTGAGGAGGTGTCTCAGTGATGAGCTAAAATGCTAGTGAAACCAAAGGACCATTAAAGCCAGCTAGTCACAGGCCTTGGCCGGTATCTGAGTCTCCGGCCCATGTGGGAAGAGTGAATAAATGAATAAGTCTGCCTGGCTTATTTATTCTAATCATTCCTCAGTCGAGCTCACAAAGCTGTTTAAGAAAGCCTCGCGGCAATCCTGTGGCATTTTTAGGAAAGGGGAAACTTGTGATAGAGTCGCAGTTCTCCTAAGTCTCCCTGTCTTCCACTCTCTCGACAGGGTCTCAGGAAGCCCAGGCTGGCCTCCCACCCATTACATAGCCAAGGATGACTTTGTGTTCCCGATCCTCCTGCCTCTACCTGCCTGGTGCTAAGATTACAGGTGAGCATCAGCAAGCCTGGCTGCTGCTTCTTCAACATGAGATTTGTGTCAAGCTTTCCTTGAGTCGGGTTTTGATTTTGTAGACATGTATAACATTGCTTTTTATTTGTGCCAGGAATGGCATCAGAAGAAACTAGACACCTAAACGTAGTTAAGTATTGCTCAAACCATTAAGTAAGCTTCCTTTTGTAATTATTAGAGTGTGACAACTAAATATTTAGTAATCCAAAGGCAAATTAATGTGGGCTTCCCATAGGTATGCTGTGAATATGTTTTATTACCATTGGTTAATAAAGAATCTGTTTTGGGCCTACAGTAGAACAGAATGTAGCCAGGTGGGAAATTTGAACAGATATATATATAGAGAGAGTGTAGACAGAGTCAAGGAGATACCATATAGCTGCCAAAGAAGTAACATGCTGGCACCAGTAAGCCACAGCCTAGTAGCAATACACAGATTAATAGAAATGGGTTAATTTAAGAAGTAAGAGTGAGCTAGAAATATGCCTAAGCTAATAGGCCAAACAGTGTTGTAATTAATAGAGTTTTTATGTGATTATTCGGGTCTTGAGTGGCCAGGAACAAATGAGCAGTCTCCACCTACAGCAAGTTAAAAGATTTGACATATTTTCTTTTTTATAGAAAATATTAATAATTTTTCTGTGTCTGATAGGATATTTGCTGATGATGGAGTTTGCCCAGAAGTTAAGGCAAGCTTTCTCCACCAAAGACATTGCTCTTTAACTCCCTCCCTGGTATTTTAGTTATACAAATGGGTATCTTTCCTTTAAAACTTTGTTTTTAATGAAAAATAATTCTGTTTATATGTGATACACATTATGCTGCTATGATCCATGTAGAAAGATTTAGTCTAGCTAACTAACATCCCATCACTTATTTAATTTAATCTTTTGATGGGAATAATATAAAGTATCTATTCCTTATAGAAAATTTGAAAGATGTAATAACATCACTGACAGCAGTACAGTAGTTTATCAAAATTTATTCTCTAGTCTAGCCAAGACCTTGGCAGGTCATAACCAGATGCGTGCCTACGAAAAAGCTGCAGTTCTAGGGGCTCGGTCATTGCAGAAGAAAGGATGGCGGCTCCAAATGACAGCAGGAGATACTGGAGAGTCTCAGAGTCTTGCAGACTCTTAAGACTCTGTAAGTGCCAGCCGGGTGTGGTGGCGCACACCTTTAACCTCAGCGCTCTGGAGGCAGAGGCAGGTGGATCCCTGTGAGTTTGAGGCCAGCCCAGTCTTCAGATTGAGCCCAGGATAGCCAAGGCTACACAGAGAAACCCTGTCTCAAAAACAAAAACAAGAAAAGAAACAACAACAAAACAAACAAACAAACAAAAACCAAAAAGCCCTCTGTACATGCAGAAGTCCAGCACATGTCTAGAAGTCCCCACGTCAATTTTACTTCTCTTCTGCTAATTACAACACCGCACAAGTGCCGGCGTATGATTGGGAAGTGATTTGCCTTTCCCCCTATTACTGGGAACTTTTTTCCTAACTACCGTTCCTGCCAATCATATCCCATTTTCCGCATAACTTTTTTCCTGTCCCTTTTCCTTCCCAAGGGAAGGAGTTTACAAGTCACTCCTGAGCACTCTCAAGAAACAAAACTCACAGAACAAGAGAGCTGAAATGTTTCCCTTTATAACATTTGAGAAGGATGTTTCTCCTCTTTTTATGAACAACCAAGCTGGTCTGTAAGGGAGATGCCGCCAGCAGCAGCCATGCAACCGTCACGCGCATCCACAGACCAGCCATAGAAACACCACCAGCGTTTGTGGGCCCTTACCTCTGTCACCCCCGACTGCTCCTATCTTTCTCAGCCTTTGCCTTTTCTTTAATGGTTTTGGGACAGACTGCTTTCCAAAGGAGGACCAAATGACAGCTTACAGTGTTACCTTTCTTTGGTCCAGTTTGGTCAGCACGCCCACTTAGTAAAGGTATTCTATCATTTTCCAGGGAAGACATCAAGGATGGTTCCACTGCTTTTATGCTATGGCAACCACTTGGCAGTGTAGCCGGGGAGTGCAGACCTCAGATCCCAGTGGACTGTATTAAAAGCAACACCGAGCAGTGCTAGTAAGTGTGCCTGCTTGGGTGTAAGTATACAGAACCAGAAACAATTTTTTAATGTATGAAGTACATAGTGAGAATCAGATTTTAATAAGTCACCAACTAATTTAATTCTCACCTAACGAGAGGCTGAAACGGCCAAGCGCATATTTATGCAAGGAACTGGGATTTTCCAGAGAAACCCAGATGCTCGCAGGACTACATGGTTATTTCTGGCTTTCCCATGAATATTCAATGAACAGTGAAGGGAGTTTCCTTAAAAGTTCCATACTCACTCATCTCTGCAAACAGCTGTCTTCTCTCTGCCATGGTAGTTCCTCTTTTCCCACTATCTTCAATCATTCTGTGGGACAAAATTGTGAGAGCGTGCGTCAGTCTCACGCAAAGCAGGCGGACAGCCATTTCTAGGTAAGCACATTAAACGCGCTTGTGCCACAGACAGAAATCATTCACTGAACTTGTTTACTTCAGAGTACTGGGTGCTGGGGAGGTGGCCCAGTAGGTATAAAGAGTTTGGATGCTTAGAACCAATGAAAGCAGGACAGGCCTGGCTGCTGCTTCTATTCCCATTACTTGGGAAATAGAGACAGGAGATTCCTAAAACAAGACACTTGATCTCAACTTAGGGTCTCCATACGGACCCCCTAAAACATATAAACCACACACAAAAGTATTTCCTTCATACTTTTATACATTTATGAATAAAATATATCATTGATTTAGATTGCTGTGCATATTTCCCATATGTCATACAGTTGTTGAAAGGGATAAAAATGCTTTCTTTCCCAACATGTGGGGAACCATGGAGTTGACCTGGTCTAGCTGCCTGGAGAGGCATGGATTACAGGTTTTTCAGATTAGAGTCTGTACCTCCTGGGGCACTATGTGCCTTTCAGTTCCTGAGAAACCAAGGCACCCCCTCGGACAGTGAAACATTCAGGGTTCCTCTGTATCTCTGCATTTCCTAGAAGTCAGCAAAGCATTCAGAAGCTTGGCTGGACAATTAGTCTTAGACATTAACCTTGTGTACCTTGTACAGCTTGCAAATGTCATGGTATCGTGGCAACTACAATTGTATTTATTCTTCCTAGCAACCACAATTATATTCTGTTTCTGATAAGGGTATATGAAGTCTGATTGCTTGCAATAAGCTTGTCTCCGCCACAGACTTACAGCAACCCCTTGGACCCAGTCTGGTTGACATTACCACTGACCATAACCAGCTGACCCTAGCTTGCTAAGTGCTGGTGCTTATACTATTATAAAAATTACTAAACAGCATACGACCCAAATGATATAACTAAATACAGCCATTGTGGTGATTTGAATGAGAATGATCCCCCTATAAAGCATATGCTCAAATACTTGAATACTTGGTCTCTAGTTGGTGGAATTTTGGGGGAATTAGAGGTGTGACCTTGATGGAGGAGGGGTGTCCTGTCACTAGGGAGTGAGTTTTGAGGTTTCAAAAGCCCTCAGCATTCCGGGTTAACATGTTCTCTCTGTCTCTCTGTTTCTCTCTCTCTCTCTCTCTCTCTCTCTCTCTCTCTCTCTCTCTCTCT